TTGGTTATTTCACACCACACGGCAGCGAACATAAGGGGCATACATCTCTCTGAATTGTTGTGTTTGTTTTCTTTGGGTAAATACCCAGACGTGGAATTGCTGAATCAGAAGGCAGAGCTATTTTTAGTTTTTTGAGGAGACGGCATACGGCTCTCCACCGAGGCTGTGCCCGTCTGCATCCCGCCAGCAGTGCACGCGGCTCCCTCTTCCCGCGTCCTCGCCAGCGCTTGTCTGTTGATGGGCTGATGGCAGCCGCTCTGACGGGTGTGAGGTGACCCTCACTGTGGTCTTCGTCTGCATCTCCCTGATGATGGGTGGTGATGAGGCTCTTTCCGTCCACCTGTTGGCCACCTGTCTCTCTTCTTTGGGAAAATGTCTGTTCAAGTCCTCGGCCCACGTTTTCATTGGGTTGGGGTGTGTTCTCGATCTGGAGTCGTGTGGGTGATTGAATATTGACCCTCAGGGAAGGTGTGATTTCAGCTACCTTCTCCCACTCAGGAGGTGGCCGGCGCCTTCTGTTGACGGCTCCCTTGGCTGTGCTCACACTGTTTACTGTGACTGAGTCCCGGAGGAAACTGTCCGAAAGGCTGTTGCATGTCCAAGAGCCACCGCCTCGGTTTTCTCCTGGAAGTTCTGCAGTTTCAGCTCTTACGTTCAAGTCTTGAATGCACGTTGAATGTGTTTGTGTAAACGTAGGGAGATAGTGGCCGTTTTCCAAGCGCCACTTACTGCAGAGACTGTCCTTCCTCCATGCACGTTCTTGGCTCCTCTGTCCAACACCCATTTTCCATTTGTTCGTGGGCTCCTCTCTGGGCTCTCTGTTCTGTTCCGTTGATCTGCGTGTCTGTTTTTCTGCCAATACAATCAGTATTGACGACAGTGTTGTGGTCTAGTTTGAAATCGGGGACTGGGGTTCCCCCAGCTTAGTTCTCTTTCAGGATGGCTTTTGCCATTTGGGGTTTTCCGTGGTTCCTTATAGGATCCTTTGGTCTCATTCCGTGAAAAATGACGTTGGTGTTTCGTGGAATTGCACTGAGCCTGTGGGTTGTGTGGGGTCATAGGGACACGTTCAAGATACAAATCCCCTCTATCCATGAGCATGGTCTATGCTCACTTACTTCTGTCGTCTTCAGTTTCTTCCATCAACGTCAGACAAGATGGTGCAAGCGTAGGTTTGCAGGTGTGAGTATGCGAATCACAAGAATGTATTCCTGTGTTATCGTTATTCATTACTAGAGGCCTGGTGCACAAAACACGTGCACGGGTAGGGTCCCGAGGCCTGGCCTGTGATCAGCGCTGGTCAGGCTCCCTGCTTCCCCGCCTCCTCTTTCCCTCGCTCCCTCAGCACCTGGGAGCCGGGCAGAAGCCCCACCCCCGCCGCTGCTGCTGGTCACCGTCTGCAGGGTGATCAGGGGATAATCAGGCCCCCACTCCACCATCCCACTGTCGTCCCACTCTTGTCAGGGCCCATTGGGGCCGGCAGCACCTCCACTGCTGCCTGCTGCCAGCGCCATGTCGCCAACGCCCGCCATGTTCCACGCTGCCCCCTGGTGGTCAGTGCATGTCATAGTAAGCAATGGAACTCCCAGTCTCCCGGTCGAACTTCCGAAGGAACACTTTGCATATTCACCTTTTATATATATAGACTAGAGGCCCGGTGCACAAAAATTTGTGCACTGGGGGGGGGGTCCCGGGGGG